AGATCCGACTCCACAGCAGTGGGTTGGGTTACAGAAGAAGAAGGCAGACTTTGATTTCAGCCTGTCACAGGGCTGTCTCCAGATTGAACCTCCTTCACTCTCACCGGAACTTCCCATGGTTTTATTGGAGATCCACTTCCATCTCTGAAGCAGAGAGATGACAACCATGCTTTAGCTTCTTGGGCAAACAGGTGCCAGTTCCAGCGATGTCCTCCACCCACATCACCAGTCGGATCAGCTGGGTCCAAAATCACGGGCCTAAATGTGAGGTTCAAAGAAGGCATTAGAGGGGTGCTTTTCAGACCCAGTGGCTTAGAAGTGGGTCCCATTCTGCTTTCAACAATAAAACGATATGCACTAAACTAAGATGCTGTTTATGACGTGATCAAGTAGCCAAGTCAGTCGCCACCTGCTGCAGACGACATATGGATCTTGTTCTTTCTCACTTTCCCCGCCTCTTTCTTCCTCAAAGTTCCTTTCCTTGCTCTCTTTGGTAGGGTTGGGGTTGGGGTTAGGGTTAGGGTTGGGGTTAGCCCTTTCTCTTGCTTCCATTGCTCTTGTCCCCCACTGGTTGAGCTGAGAGTCTGTAGGTGGTACAAACCCTTAGGTACTGGGCTGCTAACGTAAAGGTCCATGGTTTGAACCCACCCAGAGGCAGGTTGGAAGGAGAGCCTGGGAATCTGCTTCTGAAAGGTCATGGCCATGTAAACCCGATGGAGCATCTGCTCTGCACACATGGGTCGCCATGGACTGGCATCGACCCTATGGCAAACGGTTCCTGGTGTTTTCGGTAGCTAAGCTGCCTTGGCATTCCCCTAGGTCGAGGTTTTGTGGCCTTAAGTCTGAAAGTGCAGTAAATCCAGATGTAACAAAAATTCTGTAGGAGAAATTGACCCATGGATGTGCCTTATTGGAGACATATTTCCAATTTCCGCATCTCTCAGACTGCCCCCGATCCCCGCTTTTTTTTTAAACTTTTTATTGTGATTTGGGTGAAACTTTACAAAGCAGGTTCATTTTACATTCTATCCCTCAGACCTTTGAATGAATCTACAGTTTCCCTCGCAACCTAGAAAGATGGAAACTACTCAGGCATCTTGAGGCTTCTTCTGTCCTTCTGTGGATAACATTTTCTCCTGCCTCCACTAGGATTTTCTCCCTGGAGATGGTGGGAGGTTCTCTTGGTATCTGGCCCCCTGCCCCCAAGTCTCACATGAGGAATAGTGACTCTAGGGAGGAGGGCCCAGATCACTGAAATCATGTTGAAGGGAGTCAGCTTAAGGAAAGGAGGGGGCTAGGGGCTAGGGCACCTGGTTTTCTGGAGTTGGGCCAGTAGGAAGTTCCGCACAGTCACGTCCTTGAAGTTATAGTTGACTGTCCAGAAGACACAGAGCTGCTGATATTTTGTGACCAGTTCTAGGACTGTCCGGAACCCTTCAGCGGTGTCAAAATCCTGCGCTCCGCTCCCCTGCTCCCAGGCATAAATGGTCAGCAGCTCCAAGGCATACTTTGGGGGCAGAGATCCCCTTTTCTTTAGTTTCCTTGCACCCTGGGGAAAAAGTAGGGCCATCAGACAACACAAAGACCTCAGTAGCACCCACACAGACTGCACGTTAAGGATGGTCAAGGACACAACAGGGAAACCGAGTCACTAGATGGGAAGCTGGTATTCCAAGATGCAGTGGAGATTTGCAGGTGTTCACCTAGCAGCTGGCAGGCAGCACACGGAGTCCCTGGTAGTGCGATGGTTAAGTGTTTAGCTGCTACCTGAAAGGTTGGAGGTTCAAGTCCACTCAAAGGCACTTCTGGAGACAGTTTATGAAAAATCAGCCATTAAAAGCTCTGCAGAAGGGGACATCAAGTTCAACTGGCATAACATACTACACAAAACATTGTTCCACCTCCTACTTTGGTGAGTAGCAACTGGGATCTTAAAAGCTTGCAAGCAGCCATCTAGATGCAATGATAGGTCTCTCCTCGTCCAGAGCAAAGAAGAATGAAGAAAACCAAAAATTCATGGAAAGAATTAGTCCTAGCAACTGGTA